TGGAAGCTTTCAGGGCCAAAGTGCAAGCTATTCAAGACCAGGAAGCTAAAGTGGAGAAACAGTTTCAGAGCACAAGTGTGGCAGTGGATGTGCACACCTTTGCGGCTTTGGCAGAGTTTCCCACCAATGAGCAGGGCACTGTGGACCTGCAAGGCATTGATGAGCAGCGCCGGAGATGGGGTTTTGAGCTTGATGTGTTCTTCATGATTGACACGCAATGTGGAGGGCGTGCGCAGGTGATGTGGACACATTATCTTCACATAGCATTTCCTTTCATGATGAACTGGAGTCTCCGTGATATGCTGATGGCTTTGCTCTTGCGGGTGTCTTTTCACCGTGCTGCTGGAAGATCATGGCTGCAGTATGTGGAGCTGTTCGCCGGACAAGGAAATCTATCCAAAGCAGCAATTCGAGCTGGATTGAGTGGAGTGAGTCTTGACAAGGACTACGGTGAGCATCAAAATATATTGACTGGACATGGGTTGGTTCTGGCTCTTTTGGCCCTCACAGCCACCGTTCCAGGTGCACTCTGGTGGACTGGATTACCTTGTAGCTCCTTTGTGATCTTGTGTGTGTCTGTCAGCCAAAGATGCGCAGAGAATGATTTCCTAGGTGATGAAAGCAAAGACTTTGTCTTGGAAGGCAACACCATTGGAGATCTTTCCGCCTTACTTCAGTTTCTGGCATACATGGTGCAGTGCAATGATGGGATGGAGCAACCTGCTAGCAGTGTCTATCCAGAAACTCCGTGTTGCAAGGCTGTTCTGAGACATATCCAGGCACACAAAACAGTGACTTATCACTGGTGCTTTGGTGGCCCTACCTTGAAACCTCTGCAGTTGTGGAGCTCCAAGGACTACATGAAGCGCATGCATCGAGAGAGACCATGGATTCCTGGTGGATTGGAGGCATTGGCTACTCGAGATGAACGTGGAGGGTTCACAGGCAACAAGGAACGACTTCGGGAATCACAGATGTATACCCCAATGTTTGGAGAGGCTGTGGTGAAGGCTTTACTGCAAGGTTGAGGAGCAAAGGGGCAATATGTGCTCTAGATGCTGCTGGACTGGACTTTGGTCTCTTCAAATTGTACGCTGGATGCCAAACACCGGAATAATTCGTGCATTTGTGGAAGTTTCAAATTGAATGCAGGACGCCGGACGCCGGACCTAGAATTAATTCATTCATTTGTGATTTCTTTAAATCATGGGCGCAGTAGCAATTCATATGAGCAAACATGACCCTTTGGGTTATGAGCCTGGAGCATTTCAGGAAGAAAAAATCATTTGTGATCTCTTTAAATCATGACTGCAGTAGCAATTCATAGGAGCAAACATGACCCTTTGGGTTATAGAGTCCAGAGCACTTCAGGAAGCAAAAACCATCAAAACATGTGTGGCAAATGTTGAAGTGCTTGGTAGTCCTTGCAGCTTTAGCGTGTGTGGTTGTCCTGAGCGCTTTGTTGTAGATGGGTGAGGGGCCAATTGCCTTGAGCTTGCTCAAAGGAAAATTTGAAGCATTGTTTTTGGCGTGTTCATATATAGAGCTCTGCATCATGGTGGCTCCATCGGCGCTCCTGGCGATTTTGATGTACCATGTGGATCAAGAGTTTCATCTCTTTGGCCGCTCAGAGTCTGGAGAGACAATGGAGCATTTGGAGTGCTTGCGGGAGGCTTGTCAAAAGATCTGCCGACTACTTGGGAGCCGTATGCTCATTGAGCCCTTGCAGAAGCTCTGGTGTGATCTCACTACTTTGCGGAACCTTGTTCGGCATGTGGCTGTTGATGGAAGCAATCCCTTGATGTGGACCGACCTTCCTGAGCCAATCATTGCCAAAGCTGAGAGCATTCCTCTTCGTGCCCATTCTTACTCATTTGCTTCGCTTTGGGATCAGAAGTGGAAACCATTGGCGGTCAACGAATTGCAGAGTGGCAAGAAAGTTTTGGCGCAAGTGGCAGAGACTAA